AGTTAAATGTAACTGTCTTTTCTATTCCAACGGCTTCTTCTCTCGCACTACCCGCCAGTGGAACTCCCTCATCTTACTTGTTTACTTGATAACTATAATCTTCAAAAATTTAAATGTAATGTCAATCGACATCTTCTGATGTCTTCGTCTTGATTTCCGTCCTTCTCTTTATCATTTCCTCAAACACCCCTCTTTATTATTACTTTCACTCTCTGTTGTCCCTTGCGGGCTAGTGGCACTCTTGCTTTGTTTGGAGTGAAATGCTTAAAAAAATGTAAAAGAAAAGGATTCTGAGAATACCATAGATGGAGCATGTTAGCAATGAGGAAATTTTAATGAAATTGGAAGGAGAAAAGACACTTATACTTATAAACAGAAAAATGAAAGTCTGTGGAACACATAATGAGGAAAGATGCCTTGGAGAATTTCACACTGACAAATGCAAACGAGACAAAAGTAAACTGCGAGTAACCTACCTAATGAGATTGTGCAAATAGATAGTAAATCAGTGAGTGAGAATTATACTAAAGAAGTAAACCTTAGTAAGAGATACATAGGAGAGAATGTTGTGGAGAACTATGATCGACACGTCTTGAAGGGATATCGCTATCTATAAAAGGCAGTATGTGTGTGTGTAATGAATGCACGGCTGCAATTTCCGACGGATTTGCACCAAAATTTACATGCACATGCTCCAAGTTAGCAAGAAGGCCAAGACTGACTTTGCATTTCCCAACTTCCATCGATAGTGGAAATAATCGATTTTTTAATGCTTCTACGGCAGTTTTCATGTAGTTTGCGGCCATTTTCTACTGGCCAGAGTGAGGGCCTATAGCTGACTGACACAAATGTTAACTAGCATTAACCTGCATTCGTCACAAGTGGGAAAAATTTAAATCTGCATGGCACTTTAGTCCAATTGGCTCATTCGCTTGCTTAAATTCAACGTTGATTCTGATTCCGCAGAACTGGTTTAGGTGTGAAAAAGTATTTGTTTTTAACATTCTTTTTTCATTCGGTTTTTCCACTTACGAGTCCTTTTTTAAAGCTGATCGTTTTGTGTTCATTTTTTTTAGTTCTTTTTTCGTAAAAGATTTAATGTTTAGTATAGAGCTTAGAAAAAAATCGCAGTGTGAGATAGGCAAGAAGTAAGGCATGTAGCAACATCAGCACGGCAAAGGAAGGGCAAAAATATTTCAAGTCAAGTGATAGCGATTGCTGTATGAGTCGTACGATTTTTGAATGAGGCACGGGCAACCCCGGGCCATGCTGCTAGTGGCACTAGTATGCCGTAAGTTTTGAAAAAAGAACCTTAACGAGCTTTATTTACATTATTCGGACTATTTTTTTCATCTTTGTCGCCATATTTATTACAAAGTTTCGGCCGTTGTACGCTCCGACCTTCTTCAGGTGGTTGGAATGTCGAACTGAACCCTTTATTTCGCTCACTGGGGTAGATTGTTCTAGTTCCACGTGCCATGTTTAATGGATGTCAGTTATCAGTTATCTCCTGTTAATTCCCCTCTCCAAGTTCTCCACTGCCTTAACCGGGTATTGAGCTCAGACTCTTTGGGTCACTGGATCTAACTAACGCCTTTATCCATTGCGCCATGTGTCCGAAACGTTGTAATAAATATGGCGACAAAGATGAGGACAATAATGTAAATAATGTCCATAATGCCTCATCTCAGAAATATAGACAAATACTTAACGAGCTTATTGTCTAGAGATTATTGGCTAATTATTACAATCATTGTTAGCGGTGACAACACCCAGAAATCTTGTCAAATGTCGTATATTTTATGCTTTCTCTTTCTTTATTACGTCTTTTTCATTCTTTGTTCTTTTTCTCTTTTTTCTAATGATTTTTCTTCTTTCACTATTTCTTTTTTCCTCTACTATTTTTCTCTCATTTTTTTGTCTTCTCTTTCTTTTTACTCTTTCTAATTCTTTCAATTGATCGATTAATCTTTCGCCATTTTTTCCTTCTTTCTCATATTTTTCAATATATTTTTCTTTCTTTTGTTCTTTTCTCTGCGCTCATTTTTAAGGCGTCGAATTTCAACATTGGTTTTAAAAAATATTTGTGTCCGTGACAAAACAATCGATTAATATTTGAAAAAAATTTAAATGTGTAATTTAATCCCATGGTTTTAGTTGATTTGTTTTATGTTGAAATGTCAAAAATATTATCTATGTTATAAAGTTCAGATGGCGAGGCGCATTTGTTAGTATAACGCAGTAAAAACCGCACATCGATGGCGGAGGAATCCGTGAGCGCGTAGAAAAAAAGTCCCTACAAACAAAAGAAAAGATTACTTAACCACATGATATTTAATCTTCTATCTCTATAGAACTCTCCTCACAAATGGAAACGAGATTTGAGGCGACAGATATAGGTTTTTAGCGACGGGTGCCTTGGATATCAGATAGAAATATATGGTTAAGAAGGAATGTTCATGGAAAAAATAGTAATTACAAGGAAACTAAAATACTAATTACAAGAAATCGTAGCGACCAGAAAGAGGTAGCTACAATGTGGCTCACTTAATCAGGAAAGAAGGTTTGGAGAATTTAACACTCAAAAGAAATATAGCAAGAGAAAGAGGGTGAAACAGCGAGTAAACTCGTTGACGAATTTTCGTGAGTAAGTGGCAGAGCAAATACAATGGTAAATAGACAGAAGTTATTTAAAACAAAAGTACTGGAAGTTGTAGAGGGCCATGATCCACCACACCCTAAAAAAGAATGAACATGTATATATAAAATCCTTTAACATTAGACTCCTACTTATTAGGCATAAGCAGAAACACAAGTAAAGCTAACTTGAACTATTAGTGGATATTTGCCTAATAACGGGAGAGATCCCTTATATATTTACTAGAAGCATGGCCCGGCGTTGCCCATGCTTGATTCAAAAATCGTACGACTCATACAGCACTGCACGCACTAACCTGTTTCTTCCCGCGCATAGCGTGACCTTAAATTAATCTGCATTTAGGAAATACCCAACTGGAAAAACATTTTTAAGGGTTGACCGATTGTCCATTTGCATTCTGTTTGGGGGGCGCTCAGAGTTGAAACTTCACATGATGACTCCCAATGGCCTCCTCATAAATCCGATTGGTTTTCGCTAAAAACCGACGTGCGGTTCAGGTGCAATCTGAGAGTATCGGCTTTTGGGTTTTTTCGATTTTCCGCGCTGTTTAGGGGTCCGTGGTCATGAAACTTCTGGACAACACTTCTAAAGAGGGTGTCAAATTCGGTTGAAATGCAATAATTCCTTCTGTAAGCAGATTTTTTCGATTAGCGATTTTTTCGGAACCTGAGTCCGAACTGAAAAATCGGACTCCGTCATGTCCTTAAGGCAGCCATTTGCAAACTTGTGGTGAAAACCGCATCGAAATCGGGTGAGAAATGCGGCCTGGGCGAGGTAACAACGCCCACGACAGACACCCAGACAGTCAACATGAGAAATATAGATAGTAGATTACTTTATTTATTTGTATAGTCTTATAATTCGTCACCATTATATCGGATATATCTTGAATGTTTGGATAAAATATTTTGGAAAGAACCAGCTTCAAACATTTTAAATAAATACATGCTAAAAGCCCATTTAGAGGTGACACTATTAGTAATCTTAATTTTTGTTTATAAAAAATATTTTTAATGGTTAAATAGCATTGATTGGTGATGATTCAGTAGATTTTTTTATTTTAGCTATTAGCAGAGAGGGTTTTTATTAATAATTGGATTACATCTAATGTGATACTTAAAAAATACCTCCTCGGCAAAGGATGTGGAATTATTATGATGCATCGGAACACATACAGTGATAAAATCAATTTATAAAATATATTTACTGAAAAACAAAAATTTAAAAGATTTGAATAAAATGTCATGCTATTTCACCAATAACAATAATTTTTATATAAAAAAATTTAGATTTCCAATGGAGTAACATCTACGCAGTGTTTTGGAATGCATTTTCATAGAATTTCTTGAATCGGGTCCTGTCGAAAATGTTTTAATTACCTAAACGTTATGATTATAGCATAAAGTCTATTTGATATAATATATTATAATATTTAAACGCTATGTTCTTAACGGAGATTGTACAAATTTCACATTTGTTTTTTTAGTCTATGATTAACATTTATTATGTAGAGTTTAAATATAATATCTGGTAGTAAGTCAGCAGATTTTTTAGACACTCTGAAACTGTTAAGCGCTGTTCTGTGAAACATTTATGCTGGTAGATTGAATATTAATTAATCTGTCAAATATTATCATTCTAGTTCTCTATTTCTTGACCAAATTCTGCGAGTCTTGAAATACGTTAAATTCTAGTAATGTTTACGTATTTTTAAAAGTGTTATTGATTTTATTTTAATACTAAAATAAATTCCTAAAAATAAGAGCATTGAAATTGAACTTAAGAGCTATCTACTCTACATATAATGTTTGCTCGCTTCCAAGTGAACCTGTCTCCTAGGCTGGCTATTTTGTCTTTCTTCATCGTCTACAGGACCGACATGTGTTTTATATATGATGAGAAGAGCTTCCTTGCAGTTTCTGACAGAGCTTATAATTATCCGCGATGAGATTTTGAACATGATGACTTGACGTCTTCTGGACGGTTACGCCAACACAAATTTACTCTTAGAGCTTGTGTCAATATGTGGTATGGTTTTTAAATATTCCATCACAACGGTGCGAAACGCTGGGACCTCTTTTCTCCCAGCCAATATTAAAAAGAATCACCTGTTTGACAAATCGCCATTGTAAGATTCGAACTCGGCTTTACTAATCACACGCCGTTCCAGGTTATGAATAATGATCTTTTAGTTGGTATTTCGATACTAATTCACTGACATCCAGTGTAAGATTCTCAGCTGAAAAAGGAATCGGTGAACAGTTTGAATATTGGATGAGGTACTTTTTGTTCACATATATGTCCTAAGGAAAGCTATGTATCGACTTCTCTGTGTACGTTGTCATATTGTAGATATGTTAAAAAAAATCGCATCACGTGTATGTGTGCGCGTGAGAGAGAGAAATAGATAGATAGATAAATAGATAGATAGATAAAGATGGATAAAGATAGAGAGAAATAGGGAGAGAGTGGGGTGGCTGCTTTCAGTGGACTTTGTTAAAAGGTAGGTGATTATGGCAGATCTGTGTCACGTGACAACGATAATTTAGATTGGCATTTTCAAGTGATAGCTTAAGAAACAGATTTTGTCCTTGCGAGAATTAGTCCAGCTTAAGGTACGGTAGAATAATGTTGTTTTTCTTTTGTTAAAAGTAGTTTAACTTAGATTAGGAGTGTATACGTCTTGATCAGATTTAATTACTATTCATTTCTTCATATTTCAGTTTGTCACTTGACCCACATCGACGTTAAATGACAGAATGTAATTTCTCCGTCATATTTTTTCCTTGTAATTTTTGAATTTTATTTTTATTTTTTTCTTATTTTCCTTTCCTTTTTCCTTCTCTTCCTTTTCACTTCTACTTATTTCATTTTTTTCTTTCTTTTTCCACTTTATTTTAGAGGTTTTTACATTAGTTATTGTCAAATTTAATTAATATTTGGTAATATTGGATTATTGTGACGAGGACACATATTAACGAATTATTTTAAATAGATTTCGTTTTATTTAAATCATCGTGAAAATTATAATATGTTATATACGAAACAGTTGATATATGTGCCCCACCTCAAGAAATTGTAAATATCGATTGTGTTCGATTTTCATCGAAGAAATTCGATCTTTTGGTGGTGAAAAGCAAGTATTAATTATATTTATTCCAGAAAATTCGACGAGCAAAGATAATGTTAGGAAAGTGGTGACTACCAGCCTAATCCTATTTTTCGTTTTTTTTACCATATATTTAAAGTATTATCAAAATAAATATTAAATTCCATTATATTTGTGGTAAAATTTAGTTAAATACGCCCTTCGAAACGCTGAAATCAGAGATACATTTTTTTGTCACAAATACTATTTCAAGACGAACAATTCTAACAGTTTAATTCAATTTTATGTCTCCGGATATTTTCTACCGAGAAATAAAGAAAAAAAAAAAAAAAAAAAAAGAAGCCTAAATGCAAATAAATTGTCAAGAGAAGAAAGAAGTAAGAAAACGCATAATTTCATTTTGTTAAAATTGCACAAAAATTCCAGAGGGTGTTAACTTTTTCCGTAAAATTAAACCCGGATCGACTAAAATCAACAAGAAAATTCGAAAATAGAGCGATTGTTTAAACTGCTCTCTCGAGTAATTTGTAACACATTATTTATCATCTCTCAGTTGCGTCTCTGTCCTTTGGACAGAGTGCGCTCAGGGGCGGCTCCGTCAAAGGACAGAGTCGCAACTAAGGAAAATTATACTGAGAGGTGCCCAGCCCTGGGGAACAGCTGCCCGAGGCCGCGCCTTCTCATTGCACCAGATATAGGGATCGGTGCTCGCACCGAGGCCAGCGCAATATTTGTTCCTAGCTCGGGTGTATGCGCTTGGGATCCCCACATTAAACCGACCTTGTGTCGCAACCTGACCTCAAAAATTGAGCTTACAAAATGGGAGAAAATGTGCTGGCGAGTTAAGAGACGAAGACGAGTCTTCTTTTTCGTCTTCTATCGGTCGTGTCCTTTCAGGACGTGGAGGATCATGGTTCGCTACATGTTCTTTGTAGTTTTATTTACGCTATCTCCCCTAACCCCTGTTCTGCCAACCATGTTAGATAGGTTATTTTCGCTTTTTCTATGGCTCTCTAGCCTTCAATATGTCCCCTTGAGGGTCGAATTTTCTAAGACATCTTTCCTCATTATGTAATCTAGAAAGATTGTCTCTTTCCAATTATAAATATAAGTGAGCTTTCTGTTTGTATTTTCCTTAAAACTTCCTCATTGCTCAAAAGTTTCGTTCACGAAATTCTCAGCATCCTTCTGTAGCACCTCATTTCTGCTGTCTCAAGCCTCTTCATCTGTTGGTGATGGATCAGCATTCTCTATGATATAGGAGGACCAATATTACGTAAAACTTCAGTACTCTTTGCTTTATTTCTAACAGAATTTTCCTGTTTCTTAATACTTTGCTTAGCTTTTTCCGTCCTCTGTTAAAACACTGCTTAGATATTTAAATTTTGTACTTGCTTGAATTTTAATTTTGGTGCCTGCAATTTCGCATAAGTCGCGTATACTAAACCATAAACATATTTCCAGGTTGACTGCTCTAAAATAATTACTAATTATATAGATTGTCTGGTAGAATCGCAGTAAAAAAACTAAGGCAAAAGTAAGACGCCATTTTATCAGAAAATGAAGAAAACGGACAATGGGGAAGTAAAAAGATTTCTTTGGACAGACGAAACCAAATTTAAAATATTTGCTTATAATCGAATTGCTCAAGTGAAGGAAAGTAATAACATTATACAAAGTGTGTTATTTAATTTCTTACAGTTTTGGGTATGACGACAGACTACAGCCAATATCAAGGCTTCTGATCGAAGATTGTAGATTTTGAGGAGTGGTGAACCAAATCTTTCTTGCTGTTGTTCCCAGGTCCACCCTGACCCGGGGGGGTAGTAGCACTCGTTATATATATATATATATATATATATATATATATATATATATATATATATATATATATATATATATTTCCGGTGTTCCGGTGTCTGTTTTTAATTTTAATTTTAGGTCATGGTATCGGCAGCGAATAAGGCATCTGAAAATAATTCATATTTATCTGTATCTCACTCTTTTAAACCGTGATTAACTCCCGTCTTTAAAACTTCTCTCTGTTAAATTTTAACCCCCTCCTTCACATTTATGTCTTTCTCTTCTTCTTTCTTCTATTACATCTCTCTCTAGAGCCTTCATACATTTCCTTCTCACACTTGTTTCCCACTCCTACACATACACTATCACTAAAAAGTTTTTTTATACCCGGAGTTATATTTTCCAATTTCTTTTTGAATTTGTAGGTCTGATGAATTGGATCGTGATTACGATTCCGATGTAATAAATTATAACCATGGAATATTAGTGATTGAGCCTTTTATATTATATTATATATATATATATATATATATATATATATATATATATATATATATATATATATATATACAAACCTTTTTGGGACGTTTTTGTTGAACGCAGTAGAGGTGGTTTTATTACTAGCATCTATCGTAAACCCACCTTTACTGGACTTTATTTGAATTGGCGTTCATTTGCTCCTGCATCAAGGAAAATTAATCTCGTTAAAACCTTGGTGTATAGAGCGCTTTAAAGTGTGTTCCCCTATTAGATTGGACCGTGAATTTGGGAACATTAGGGAGATTTTCCTTAGTAACGGCTATCCGGAGGCCCTTATTGACTATATTATTAGTAAGAAAACTAAGGAATTTCATTCCCTAAAATCCAGGGCCTTCTAAATGTCCGGTTTATTTGAAGATTCCCTGGATTGGGGATAGTGGTCAGGGCTTAATTAAGCAGGTTAGCAAGTCGGTTTCCGGTTGTTTCCCATCAGTTGCTTTACGTAGCATTTTTCAAACTAGGTCTGCGTTTCCGTCTTTTCGCAAGGATGTATTGCCCTACATCAAATTGAGTAATTTAGTATATGAATTTAATTGCCAGTGTACTGCTGGTTATGTGGGGCGTACAACCTTGCATTTGGAAACTAGAATTAATCAGCACGTTCCTTCCAAAATACGACTTGGTAAGATAGATAGAATATGCTATCTTCCCCCCATGAATATGGAATCGGCTATTGCTCAACATTTAGTTGAGAATATAGCTTGTGCCAAGTTGTATAAAAAAGAGTGGTTTAGAATTATTCATACAGCCGATTCCAATAATCATTTGAAGATTTTGGAATCGGTCTGTATAGGATTTAGAAAACCTTCTCTCTGCCGGCAGAAAGAATTTATAAGGTCTCTGAATCTGTTGGGGGATATTTTATTTTAACTGTCCCTCGCTATTTATTTACACGATAACCCTTCCCTCGTTACAAGTATATATACTTGTTCGTTATTTTAGTGTGTTTCCCCCTCTTTTTTTGCTCTTCAATATCGCTATTATTCATTTCGCTAATCCAACGATTGTCTCCTGATGAGATGTTGGCTGAAAGGGCTCTAGAGACTTTTAATATTAAAATCAATGGTTTCCTAGTTTTTAAAACTATATATATATATATATATATATATATATATATATATATATATATATATATATATATATATAGGGAACTACACTAATTTACTGTAATTTTGTTTAAATTGCAATAACTATCAATATATTTGCAGTAAATAATGAGCTTATTCCCTTTATAAAAACATAATATTTCATTTCCTGGTTTTATAATAAACATACAAAGAACGATACAAGTAACAGATCATTATTATCGGGACAAGCACGAAACTATTACTGTTATATTGTTCGATTAGATCTGACATAGCTTTATTCTTCAGTTCGTAAAATATTAATCGTATTGTCCCAACAGAATTCTTGATGTAACAGTCTTATCTATCTCTCTCTAACTCCAAGTTAATCTCTTATAATAATAGTAATAATAATAATAATAATAATAATAATAATAAAAATATAATAATAATAATAATAATATATTGCTCTACTTTGTTTTGAGAACATTTTAAAAAGTAAATGCTACGAACTGTGAATTTTTACTCCATCAGTTCTTTCTTTCATTTGTATATATATATATATATATATATATATATATATATATATATATATATATGTGTGTGTGTGTGTGTGTGCGTGCGTGTGTGTGCGTGTGTGTGTGTGTGTGTGTGTGTAAAGTGAACACTGGGGTCAACAGCAAATGTCGACAGTCTGTATCATGCTTCAACACAATCTTCAAGCCATGCCTGTTGTGCTATGGCTCGATTATTTATTATATGCTGTTCAGTGTTGCATTATGTGTAGTAGGGTCTGTTGTATTATCCCGGCAGTTATTGGGTGCCCATTAACTGTTATGTTTCACATTATTCTAGAAACTATTGAGTAGAAATAATCGTGGATCCGAATGCACTTATTTCTATATAGTTTATCTATTATCTATTATTGATAAAGTTAATCAGTTTTTACTATCATTATTAAATTTTTAATTTTACTATCATTATTAAATTTTTAATTTTACTATCATTATTAAATTTTTTGATTTATTTTACTGTGTTCTTTTGTATTTTGTTAATTTGTTTACTATTTACTTCATTTGTTTATTTATTTAGATTTTTTGTTTATTTTCTTTTATTGTTCGGATGTTGATTACCTTATTTGTTTAGTTAAAAGTATTGATTTTGTCTAAAGAATGTTACATTATCTGCATTGTATATAGTGCACATATTTGCATTTTTCCACGTGGTATTTTACAAGGTATTCATTTTTAGTTTTCGATTATTATGTAGTAAACATTTGTTTTCATGTTTGCATTTTGAGATCTGATAATTTATTTAGTAATTTGTGTTCGTTTGGCAAATTTATTATAGATATTTTCTCTTCCAAATAAAGTTTACAGCTTTTTGATTTATTGTAAGTTGATGCTGTTTTCCTTGTTTTACATTATATTTTTGGTGTAATTTGGATTTTAAATGATCAGCTTTCCGTTTGAGCGTGGTCACGTTGTCGTCAAACGGAAAGCTGATCATTTAAAATTTTCATTTATCTGTTTTGGATAAGACTTGTTTTTATGTCCATCGTTTTCGTCGAGTTATACTGATTATGTTAATTGTATTTTTAATGAATATTGTCCTGAAGAAGGTTATTAAACCGAAACGTCAGACGTCGACATTTCATTCATATTAAAACAACATAATCGCATTTTAAGGATTTTTGTTTTGTTCTTCCAGATATTTTCTTCATATATATATATATATATATATATATATGTGTGTGTGTGTGTGTAAAACTTTCAGAAATAAGTGAAAATATATCTCTAAAAAACAATATGAATAAAGACAAAAAGAAAAAATACTTTATTCGACGCGTTTCGTCCTCTGACGGATTCTATCAAAGCAAATGTAAGGATTTCTTTCCAACACGTATTTATAAACGAAAGTAAAAATCTTGTTAGATTTTCAAAATTTTTAGATTTAAGAAATGCCAATAAATATTCGTCAGGCTACCGGAAAAGTCCATGAAAATTATGGCGGATTCTAAGTAACGCAATTCATAGTCTAATAAACAAAAGGAATTACTTAGACTGAAGTTCTCGAGAGCGTCTCTATCGAATATGATATATATATATATATATATATATATATATATATATATATATATATATATATATATATATATATATATATATATATATAATCCGTTAAATAATAAAAAAGAATCCGTGAGGCAGTTTTTTTATATATATATATATATATATATATATATATATATATATATATATATATATATATATATAAAACTGCCTCACGGATTCTTTAAAACATATCCGTTCCTGAAATATTTCCTCCTTTCTCAAGCCAACATACATAACTTTAGACATGTTAAATCTCACCAAGTTAAGCAACGTCGAGCCTGGTCAGTACCTAAATGGGTGATCGCTTGGAAATAACGTTTTGCAGGTTATTTAAAGCCAGCATAATTACAAAGTTTTACAAGCGCTACTGGCAGCTGAAGAGGAGGAAAAGGGTATTTACGTGTAAGTTACAACTCCTACTGGAATTGAATTTCCAATTTCGGACATTGCACCATATGCACATCCACGCTCACAACACGGGGTGTTCCCAAGCGCTCACCCATATAGGTACTGATCAGGTTCCGGAGTTCCGAGGCGTTATTGTCCGTAAGAGAAATAAGAATCTGTAAGGTAGAGAAATTGTGACAATAAATGATAGATAGATAGATAGATAGATAGATAGATAGATAGATAGATAGATAGATAGTCATGAACAGAATCAGATAGATAATAAACAGATTGAAAATAGATGGATACATAGATAGATATAAATAGAATCAGATAGATATTAAACAGACTGAAATAGATAGATAGATTGATTGATAATGAACAGACTGAGATAGATATGAACAGACTGAAATAGATAGATAGATAGATAGATAGATAGACAGATAGATATGAACAGACTGAGATAGATGGATAGACATGAACAGAATGAGATAGATAAGCTGATTGAAATAGATAGATAGATATGAATAGAATCAAATAGATGAAAAACAAAATAGATTGATAGCGAGCTAGATTGATAGACTGATTGATAATGAACAGACTGAGATAGATAGATATGAACAGAGATAGATAGATAAATAGATATGAGAAGACTGAGATAGATAAATAGATAGATACATAGGTAGATATGAACAGACTGAGATAGATAGATAGATAGATAGATAGATAGATAGATAGATAGATAGTGAACAGACTAAGATAGCTAGATAGCTAGATAGATAGATAGATAGATACAGGGAGAGAGAGAGAGAGAGAGAGAGAGAGAGAGAGATGCCAAAGAGGAGAAATAATCGGCATATAATTTGAGAAAACATTGGTTCGAAATATTTCTAAGCCAACGATTAAATCTAGTATTTCGAAACATCAGCAGTGAAAAAACAAAACAAAATCCCCCCAAAACAAAGTAAAACGCACGGAAATAAATGGAAAAAAAAAGAAAGATTTACATAAAAGATATAAGCAAACAGACCAGCAACCTTTTAAAAAGTCCGGAATACAAAAATAATAACTTCGAGAAAAAATAAACATCGTTAAATAATGTCTGATGTGTATGAAGGAAAAACGTCACACGATAAATCAACTCCTCCTTACGAACTGTTTCCGCCGGAGGGGGCATGAATCTGAAACAAGGAATTGAATCTGGGTGGCTTAAACGGCAGCAGTTATATTGACGCGACCCTTTGACAAGACAGCATTAATTTTAGCTCGTTTTCCTTTGAAGTCGACCTTGTGTAGGCGATTGTAATTCGGATTTATCTTCTATGATCACCTGGAAGTTTTTCCTGTTTACTTTTCATGCTGATAACACAAAGGGTCTTGTTGATAAGTAAGCGTAGACATACATTAATTAATTTTCCTTCACACACACACGTATATATATATATATATATATATATATATATATATATATATATATATATATATATATGTGTGTGTGTGTGTCTATATATTTATATATGTATATATGTATGTATATATATATGTATATATATATATATATATATATATATATATATATCTTTTTGTGTGTGTGTTTCTGTTGAATATATATATATATATATATATATATATATAAACATATATATGTAAACACTTCTCTGACAACGACACATAAATATATTTTGCTTATATATATATATATATATATATATATATATATATTGTGTATTTAGGCAGCAATCCTTCTTTCATGCAAATTTCAATAAACATGACAGAAAAGGTGCTTTAAGTGTTTTATATATTTTCTCATGTGATCTTATAATTTTTTTTCAGTAGACATATTTGAAGGCACAACCCGAGTTTTTAATCAAATGAAGTCTAATCACTGGCTCAAAACTGACTGGGTCAAGTGTTTACTGTTACTAGCTATACACTGTCTGATATAAGCAGGCACATGTTGTCCAAACCGGGTCTCCAATCACAAGTTGTTTCGCCCCAAACTGTCTGCCTCTCATCGACATTTAAATTGATAAATCACGGAATTAATTTTTAGGTAGGGCATATCATCCTCAGTAAAAGATAGGAACCCTAGAACAGTATATATATATATATATATATATATATATATATATATATATATATATAAATTTGAAAAAAATTTTAATTGATTTTCAAAAGATTTTCAAACTGAGATTTTCATTTTTTTTTAAAAATAGAAAAAATAGTTGACATGATTGATTATCTGTCAATTTTGCTGACTAAAAAAAACAAGATTTTTAATGAAAATTTTGGACGTGCTAGCAACGATTAAGAAATGAAAAATAAATACCCACAAAATACTTTGATCTTTCTCTCTTAATAATAATATAAACATTTAGACGATAAAATTTTGTTTTCATCAAGTTTGGCGTCATTTTCATCAGGCTATGCTCTTTTTAGGTACCTACATTTGATGTTTATATATTCTTCCTACATTTTTATGTTTATATATTCTTTTTTTATAGATAAAAATATTTAAGTAAATTCTCTGTTTATAATAAACAGTATTAACGACATTTACCGACCTGGATGTCCGAGAAATTTTCATAGAAAATACGCGTCCTCCGACAGGAATCGGACCTTTATCTTACACGAAACCATCATATAGCCTGACGTGCTTTACCGATTTAGCAACAGAGGAGTGTTTCGGTTAGCAAGGTCGATTTTATAATGATTTCATAATTAGTTACGTCATTTGTTTACATTTGGATACGCATCGAGCAGATATGAATGTACGAGAGAAAATCATGGAGAATTAGTTTAAAAACAGGAAAATCGACCTTGCTAACCGAAAAGCTCGTCTCTGGCTAAATCGGTAAAGCAAGTCAGGCTATATGAAGGTTCCGTGTACACCCAACTGACCCTACTATACTGTGCAGTCGGCAAAATCAAAGACAAACAACATGCATGTGTGAAATTAAGAACAAAAAAGACGACAATTTACTCATCGCTGACTGTATATATATATATATATATATATATATATATATGTGTGTGTGTGTGTATGTATATTTAAATAAAAAGAAAGAACAGTAAGATATGTAATCCGGTGTTCTTATTGATATTTTTATTTTTTACAAAATAGTGCTCAATGTAAATTTACAGAGCATTAATATTATAAATTAACTGATTTAAAATATGTTTTTTTTCGCTACACAGTAATAACCATGTTTCTAAAATGGAAGCTAAAAACTTTAAATTTAATTTTGTAATTGAATTAAAAACAGTTCCATTTCATCCTCAAGCAAATTTTGGAGTAACTTACTTTTTAAATTTACTGAGTTT